GAACTCGGCGATGTCCACGTTCGGGGCGTGGCGCGGCGACACAGTCAGCGAGGATAATATCTGCGCCAGCAGCATATTCAGTTTTGTGTACGTAGGACGCTCGATGTCCAGAGTGTGGTGGCACATGTCGCACAATGCTTTGTTGTCGTACGTGGTGACCACGTTCCAAGAGAAAGCGCACGCAGAAAAAAATGCTGTTTTCCTCCAGCTCCTTGAACATCCCGGGCCCCCGCCAGGACCCGTGCCTGGCCGTCGGAGGCGGAGCGGGGACAGTAGGCGGGGAAGACACAAAACACTTCAGAGGGCGCTGCTGCCGCCTGAACTACATTTGAGCCGAGAGCGGCTCATCTGGCAGGATGGGACTCCGTACGCCTCCGAGGATCGGCGGAGGAAAACGGGGCTGACGACCCAGGGGGCATTGCATGCATTCGCTGGGGAGCCTCGTCGAAGATATGGGCAATCGGAACTCTTGGATTCGATGCAGTGGTCCCCCACGGCTACCACGTCTGCCCCATTTTTGCAATGAGTCAGACGTGTCCCAAGGGAGACTGGTCCTGGACTCTGGGGCTCTCCCCGGGACCAGCTCGTCCCGATTCGTTTCCTGACGGTCCAAGCCCGTGGAGGGCCCCGTGCGCCCGAAAGCGGTGAACAGGAATCAGGGCCCGCCTCCCTCAGGAGACATGTCTCCTCCTTTCGCCCACATGCAAGAACGACCCCAGGCAATCACGACCCTTGGTACGGGTTTCGGGCGGCCGCGGGAGAGGGTGGGGGGGAGGGAGCAGATCCACGCGCGCAAGCCACTGTCCGAGGGACCCCTGTGGGCCCGCACCAAACGTCACCCTGGCGAAGCGCCGCTCTTGGGCGTTGCTGATTCATGGCGACCTGATTGGTGCGGCCGCCGAGGGCAACTATGAGGAAGTTAGGGTACCTATGAGGAAATTAGGGTACCAGGAACACCGAGCTGGACTCGGTGACACACTGCCGATCGATCGGCAATATGGCCCGACAGCGAATCCGAATGTTCCTTCCTGGGCGGGGTGGGGTATCAAGCCTCTATCGGCGATAAATCGGGGATTGGGGGTCAATGCGTCCCCTGCTGTGCATGTTCCCCCGATCCGCCGACCGAGTCGGCGTGTGTGAGAGGCCCTTCGACGCGAGGCCAGTCCAATCCCAAACTGAAGAACGCCAACCTCCTTTGAATCGTCGTCGTCGTCGTCGTCGTCGTCGTCGTCGTCGTCATAAGAGAGATCGAAAAACAATGAGGGATCCAACAATATCGCCGTCACGTCGAACGAAACCCTTTATTTTTGTCGCTTCCCCGCCGGGGGGGGGGGGGGGTCCTGGGTGGGGGGGCGGTCCCGTGGGGAGTCCCAATGGGGGGTCCTGAGTGTCGTACCCCCCCCCTGGCGGTCTCCCTGTGGAGAATGGGGACATTGGGGTGGTCTCCCTGCCGGCAGGGGAGGTCAGGACCCCTCCCCCCGCCTCGGCCCAAGCTCCGTCCCCTGTCCCGGCCCTGTCCCGGCCCGCGCCCCAGACCCGGCCAAGGCCGTGGCTACGGCCCGGGCAGTAGCCTTGGCCCCAGCCCTGGCCCCGGCTCCTGGCCTGGCCCTGACCGCGGCCCCGGCCTCGGCCCTTGCCGCCGGCCCCCCTGGCCCCAGCCGCGGCCCGGGTCCCAGCTTTCCCCCTCGGCTTTCGCCTCCGAGACGCCCGCCCCCGACCGAGGAGACGGAGACAGACGACTCTCCTTTTCCTCCTCCTCGTCTTTCTCTCCCTCCTCTTTCTCTTTCTCTTTCTCTTTCTCTTTCTCCTCCTCCTCCTCCTCCTCCTCCTCCTCCTCCTCCTCCTCCCTCCTGCTTCTCCTCCTCCTCCTCCCTCCTGCTTCTCCTCCTCCACCTCTCCACTCCCTCCCTTTCCCCTCCCCCCAAATGTCCTCTTCCTTATAGATAACTCCTCCCTGTCGCACCCCGAAGCTGGTCGAGAAAGCGGACCAGGCGTTTCGCCTGAGACTTCGCCACCACCTATAGACCCTTAAACTCGAGAGTTGGCAACAACTTCGCGAATGGAGGTCGGGTGGTTTTCAAACATGTGGCTCTTGCCTTGGCACCGCGCACAACCGTTTCAAACACTTGAATGGGTTTCATGGGTTCAGGGCGGGTCGTTTTCAAAATGTGGTTATCGCCTCTGCGCCGCGCGCATTCGTCTTACACAATTGCAAGAGTTTCACTGGTTGAGGGCGGGTTGTTTTCAAAGATGTGGCTCTCGCCTGAATGCCGCGCGCATTCGCCTTACAACTTTGCAAGAGCTTCACATATTGAGGGCGGGCCCATGTTTAACGAATTCCCACAAGCCCTTTAGGGCGTGAGTGGTTTAGAGAGCCCCCTCTGTCCTCAACCCCCCTTCTTCCCCTTCGGGGAAGGGTTTACCCCTCCCCCTACCCCCTCCCCCTGGGCCTGGAGAGGGCGTCCCGCGGGTGGTTGGAGGGGTCTTCTTCGACTCCTGGGAGGGCCAAAAAACGACGACCCTCACGAGGATTCTGGCCCCGTCGGGGGGGCCCAGAAAAAAACCCTCTCCTCTTCTGTGAAGCCAAAATCTTTGCTTTTACGAAGGTTTTGGCCCCATTGTGGTCTCCTGAGGGGGCCGCGCTCATCTTCCTTCATAGCAAAATCATTGATTTTACGAAGGTTGTGGGCTCATTTTGTCCTTCTCAGGGGGGCAGCGCTTCTTTGCGCTTCTGAGGAGGTCGCAAGGGGCCCCAATATGGCCCCAAGAAGCCCCCAGGAGCCTCCCAAGAGGCCTCCAAGAGGCCCCCAAGAGGCCCCCAAGAGGCCCCAAGAGGCCCCCAAGAGGCCCCCAAGAGGCCCCCAAGAGGCCCCCAGAGGCCCCAGGAGGCCCCCAAGAGGCCCCCAAGAGGCCCCCAAGAGGCCCCAAGAGGCCCCCAAGAGGCCCCACGAGGAGCCCGAACGACTCACACCAGGACGAGGGGCCCGAACGACTCACACCACGAAGAGCCCGAACGACTCACGAAGAGCCCGAACGACTCACACCACAAGGAGGGGCCCGAACGACTCACACCAGGACGCGGGCCCCGAACGACTCACACCACGAGGAGCCCGAACGAGTCACACCAGGAGGAGGGGCCCGAACGACTCACACCAGGATGAGGGGCCCGAACAACTCACACCACGAGAAGCCCGAACGACTCACACCAGGACGAAGAGCCCGAACGACTCACACCACGAAGAGCCCGAACGACTCACACCAGGAAGAAGGGCCCGAACGACTCACACCAGGACGAGAAACCCCAAACGACTCAAATCACGAGGAGCGCTTTCTCTCCCTCCTCCTCCGCCTCGTCCTTCTCCCGCTCCCCCCACAAGGAGGATGTACAAGGAGGCGGGAGGAAGGAGGAACAGGGGAGATATGCGGGGCCAAACGGACACACGCCTGTAAAACACGACTGTCGCCATGCTTCGCTCGAGTTGCTGTTGTGAGATGGGCTGGTGGGGATACGCGAAGCGTAAAGAATCATGTTGCTCACAATGTGGTTATCGCCCAAGCGCAGCGCAAATTCTCTTGAAACGTGTCGTTTCCCAAATGTAGCTCTCGCCTCAACTCCGCGCGCATTCGTGTCAACACGCTGCAAAGCAATACGGATTGGGGGCGGGTCGTTCTCAAAATGTGGCTCTCGCCTTAAGCACCTCGCAAATTCGTGTTCCAAGTTGCAAGGCCTTCACGGATTGAGGGCAACTCCTTTTCAACAGATGGGTCTCGCCTCAGCGCCGCGCACATTCGTCTCAACGCTTTGCAACAGTTTCGCGGATTGGGGGCGGTCGTTTTCAAAATGTGGCTCTCGCCTTAGCACCTCGCAAATTCGTGTTCAAAGTTGCAAGAGCTTCACGGATTGAGGGCGACTTCTTTTCACCATGTGGGTCTCGCCTCAGCGCCGCGTACCAGACATGGTGTTTTCGAACGGTTTAGAATTCTCAGGGCGCGACAGTTACGTATACTCGCGGTGTTGACGTCTCAGGAGTGGCGTTCTGGCACGATTCAACATCGCCAAGACGTATGCATGTTGATTCGTGGCGTTGGAGTTCCGAGAATTGTTTGACACGCTTCAGGATCTTCAAACGAATGTCTCCCAAAGGGGCACTTCCCTCAGTGAAAATGAACCCTCGTAGGGGCCTGTGAAGAGGGAGATTGGAGGGAGGGTGTATTTCAACCATCGTTGATGAGTCTTCCTGAGTTTCGGGTTAACACTGGTCCTGCTCCTTCTCCTCCTCCTCCTCCTCTTCTGCCTCCTCCTCCTCGTCCTGATTTCTGACACCTGATGGCCTGCGAGTTCGTTGAACGCGGTCCTTCCCCCCCAGGGCCGGTCGGGACTGCCCGCTCCATGTCCCGAGACAGCGGCAGGGTCATCAGCTCGTCGTTGTCGTTGTCGTTGTCGTCGTGGTCGCCGTCGTTGTCCTCCTGGGTCGGCGGCACCGTAGAACCATGAGCAGCCCTTTGTGGCTTTGGAAAAGGCTTAGAAAGCTTCTCGAAAGGCCGGATGCATTGTGATCCTTCTGGGAAGACCCGCCCCCTCTGCCTTCCCCCCATAAACCCTCCTCCCTCAGTCTCGGAGGGCCAATTGAGACAATAGCGGCTCTCCCGTCTGGCCCGAATCCGTTCAAAATTGCTTCCCGCACCCCTTCCGGGGTTCATCCTGAGCAGTTTTTTCTGTTAATTGTTTCCGAGACGGATCCATCCGTGACGGCCAGAGGCCTCCAGGAGACCCCCCAACGGACGAAACATGACGAAACATGCCAGCGGGGGCCGCCGTTGTGTCATGCCTTCGGGTCATCACTCGAGCCTCTGGCGGCCGTTCGGGACGACTCGGTAGACGAACACTTCCGAGCTTCAGATACCTGTCAGACGATGTTCGCAAATTGCACCAGAGCCTCTGCCCCCCCCCCTCCCGTCGCTGCCCCTGAACCGAGGCCCGCTCCGACCCCGCCCGGCGCCTCTGCATCGCCCTCGGGTCCACGGGCCGCTCCTTCAGCGACCTCGGCGCGGGGGCATGGGGCGCGGAGGGCTGCGGGCGCCCCGTGGCTCCTGCTCTCCTCGTCCCCCTCCCAGGGGGGGGCGAGGACAGTGGACAGCGAGGAGAGCAGACAAGGAGGAGGAGGAGGAGGAGGAGGAGGAGGGGGAGGGGGGGGAGGAGGAGGAGGAGGAGGAGGAGGAGGAGGAGGGAGAGGAGGAGGGAGGAGGAGGAGAGAGGAGGAGGAGGAGGGAGGAGGAGGGAGGAGGAGAGGAGGAGGAGGGAGGAGGAGGGAGGGGAGGGAGGAGGAGGAGGAGGAGGAGGAGGAAGGTTGAAACCCTTCAGCCCTTTAGGCCGTAGGTGGTTCCCGATGGTTGTCGATGGCGGCCCCTGCCCCTGCTCAGACTGGGGTGCTACTTATGCGGTGGGAGGGCGGGTGGGAGTGAGCGGCACAGCTTGCTGCGTTCTGCGTTCTCGCTGGGAACTTGACCCCTCCCACTTCCCCCTGCCCCAGTGGCTCTGGATGGGGCGCTCCGCGGGTAGGTAGATCGTCCAAAAAGCCTCGGCGAGAAGGCAAACAACAGTCGTCCTGAGGTGTTGGGCAAGTTGAGCCTCCTGTGGGGGGGGGACCTAATCGGTCAACCACCCTTCCCTTCTTTGATCGATAGCCTCCCAAATGGCCCCCATCGACCCGAAAAACCGTCAAGAGAGCCCCTGGAGGCCACCAAGAGGCCTCCAAGCCAGGAGGCCCCATGAGGCCTCTGAGAAGCATCCAAGACGCTCCAAGAGGCCCCCCAAGAGCCGTCGAAAGGCCCCAAACACGCCTCAAGATGCCTCTCAGAGGCCCTCACGATACACCCCAAAAGACCCGTCCAATCGGACCTCTCCTGTTGGGCCCCAGGAAGCCCCTTTAGCGCACAAGTGAGGCACTTTCCTTCACCCTCCACTTTATCGACTCTCCTCTTACGCAACGCCAGACTCGAAACGTTGAAACCTGGGCTGGGTGCGACAAAAGTGGCACGTCCGCATGGACATTACTGTTTTTCCTTCTGCGCAGCGCACTGCTCGGAGGCTAACCAGTTGCAAACCCCTCGGGCGCAATCTGCAGCGCACCAGACGACCTCGAGGCGCCAGGAAAGCTCCCCATGGGCCCACAAGGTCGCGCCCGCCCGCCCAGGCACCGTGCTCCCGAGGCAGAGTCTGCAGCGCCAGCTCCCCGCACGCGGCCTCTCCTGGCGGCCTCCTGATCAGCGCAGCGAGCCCAGCCCAGGTGTCGCAACGCGAGGAAGCCCCACATCCCCCTCGGGCGCACCAGAGAGCGGGGGCCCAGAAGGGGGGCTGGCGCAGCATGGCCAGAGGCAGGTGCGCGGACGAGGGCGGGCCAGGGGACGTACCGAAAGACGATGGGGCCACACCTGGGGGATGTCGTGGCACTGGCCGTGATATCCCCTCCCCCACGTCATCACCCCCTCTTGGACGCCCCCGATTGGGGACAGGGACGTGCTTAGCATGTCGCGCTGGGGCGTGGTGGGCCAAAACTGGTGGCGCGCCACGCTGAAACGTTCCTGACTGCCCAACCAAATTCTGCCATTAGGAAGCTCAAGAAAGGACCGCAACGCCTTTTGGGCCCTAGCAGCGCTCGGTCTTGCAAGTGGGGCAACCTGATTGGGCTCTCCTGCTCCTCCTCCAGCTCCTTGAGTGGTGCTGAACGGGGGGTGATCAAGGGAAGTGATGAAAACGTGAACATTTCGTGCATCTGTTGGGACCCATGGGAACCATTTTGGGCCCCGAGGGTGTATGACGGGTGCACCTTTCTTCACCCCCAAGTCTTATCGCCACCCTATTGAGCCAACGCCCCACCTTTACCTCATGAGCCTCGTCCCCCTCGTCGTCGTCGTCCTCCTCCTCCTCCTCCTCCTCCTCCTCCTCCTCGCACCGGGGGCGCGACAGAGCGTCCGCCATGTTCACCCTGAGGCTCTCCAAGATCCTGACGACGTCCTCCCCCGGCTCCTCGGCGCCGCGGGCTGTGGGCGCTTGCTCGTACGACCCGGGTCTCGCCGGGGACACCGCCAGGGGGCGAGAGAAGAGTTTCCCCATCCTCCTTCTCCTTTTCCTGCATTCTCTGTTTCCTCCTCCCTCATCTCCCCTCCTCCTCAGCCTCCTGGTCCTCCTCCTCCTCCTGTTCTTCCTTCTCCTCCTCGCCCCTCGCCCTCTCCTCCTCCTCCTCCTCCTCCTCCTCCTCCTCCTACTCCTCCTCCTGTCCTCCTCCTCCTCCTCCTCCTCGTCTCCTCCTCCTCCTCCTCCTCCTCCTCCTCCTCCCCCTCCTCCTCCTCCTCCACCTCCTCCTCCTCCTCCTCCTCCTCCTCCTCCTCCTCATCTCTCATGCTCCTTACTCTTTATCCTGCGCCTCCCTCTCCCTCCTCCTCTCTCTTAACTCCTCCTCCCTCCTCCTCCTCCTCATCCTCTCCCTCCTCCTCCCCTCCTTCTCCTCCTCCTCCTCCCCCTCCCCCTTTTCTTCCTGCCCCTTTCGCCTCCCCCTCCCCTTCCTCCCCCTTCTCCCCCACTCGCCCCCCTAACTCGTAAGTGTTCCTTTTCCTCCTCCCCCCATCACGCCCAGTCCTTACAACCGTGGTCTCCCAAAATGGCGGAAAAACTCTTCAGCAGTAGCCTACGGGCAAACTGTGTGGCATGAACATCGGGACAGCCGCGGGAATGATCTTTCCAGCACTGGGAAAGCTTGCCGATATTGTGAGGACTAGACACTGTTGAGAGACACTAGCCTGCAAGATAATTACGCCACCGAGAAGCCCCACTTGATGATAGCTGAAACGAAACATGCGAGAATGATGCTGGTGGCCGTTGCCCCGCTTATGCCGTTGGTGACGCCGGTCACGCATTGAGAAACTGACACCGCGGTCTGAGACCACCCCCTGCGCACCTGTAGAGCACCCTCTGCGCACCCCATGTGGCGTCGAGAAAGAGCCACGCTTGCTGTGGCTGGGTGACTGGGGCGTATAGAGACGGCGGTGGGAGACCGCCCCCTGCAAACCATCGAGAATTTGCAACGCCTGCGGTGCCTGGACGACTGAGGCGTATAGAGACGGCAGTGAGAAATCACCGCCTGCGCACCCCCGACTAATTTCGAGAAAGTGCCAAGCCTGCTGTGCATGGACGATTGGAGCGTATAGAGACCGAGGTGGGGGACCCCTTCCTGCGCACCCCTACAATGTTGAGAAACTGGCACGCCTACTGTGCATGGGCGACTGGGGCGTCCAGAGACCGCGCTGAAAAACCACCCCCTGCGCACCCCCTGTGGTGTAGAGAAAGTGCCACGCCTGCTGTGCCTGGACGACTGGGCGCACCCCTTGTGGTGTCGAGAAACTGCCACGCCTGTGCATGGACCACTGGGGCGTGTAGAGACAGCAGGGAGAGACCACCCCTGCGCTCTCATCGTGGCGTCGACAAACTGCCACGCCTGCTGTGCCTGGACGGCTGGGGCGTATAGAGACCGCGCTGAGAAATCACCCCTGGCGCACCCCCGACTGGTTTCGAGAAAGTGCCACGACTGCTGTGCCTGGACGACTGGGACGTATGGAGACCGCGGTGAGAGACCACCCCCTGCGCACCCCTATGGTGTCGAGACAGTGCCACGCCTGCTGTGCCTGGACGACTGGGGCGTATTGAGACCGCGGTGAGAGACCACCCCCTGCGCACCCCCTATGGTGTCGAGAAAGTGCCACGCTTGCTGTGCCTGGACGACTAGGGCGTATCCAGACTGAGGTGAGGGACCACCCCCGGCGCACCCCTATTGTGTCGAGAGAGTGCTACGCCTGCTGTGCCTTGACGACTGGGACGTATAGAGACCGCGGTGCGAGACCACCCCCTGCGCACCCTTATGGTGTCTAGACAGTGCCACGCCTGCCGTGCATGGACGACTGGGGCGTACGGAGACCGTGGTGAGAGACCACCCCCTGCGCACCCCCTATGGTGTCGAGAAAGTGCCACGCCTGCTGTGCATGGACGACTGGGGCGTATGGAGACCGTGGTGAGAGACTACCCCCTGCGCACCCCCTATGGTGTCGAGAACATGCCACGCCTGCTATGTCCTGGACGACTGGCGTGCATAGCGGCTGCGGTGAGAGCCCGCCCTCTGCGCACCCTGTTTGGTGTCGAGACGATGCCACGCCTACTGTGCTTGGACGACCGTGTGCGTACTTTTTGGGCGTATGATACAGTACACGCGCCAGGCGTGCACTGGCGTTGTATGTATTGTGTGCGCGTCGGACTGCATGCGTGTCTTGTGTCTTGTGTGCCTTGTGCAGGTGTGTGATGTGTGTACGGCTGTATGTGGACGTGCATATCATGTGGATACCCAGTATGTAGCGCATACGTCTTGATGTATGATACAGTAGGCACGCCAGGCGCACACTGGAAATGTATCGTGTGCGTGCGAGTTTGTGCATGCTTTCGGCTGCATGTAGACGCGTGTCTCATGTATGTGCCGTGCGTGTGTTGCGCATGGGTGAGGCGAGAGAGGAAGAAGAGGTGAGGTGGGAGGAATGAGGGAGGGGAATGTTTGAGAGAGACGCGGGTGGGACGCGGGAGAGAAGAAAATCAGAACCCCACTTAACATGTGGGAAAAACATACCGAAAAGGACCGGCCAACGCCGGATCGCGCAGAATGGCCAGCCCTGGCCATCCTCTCAGTGCCTCACCGCCGGTCCTCTGTGCCCTCACCGCTGGGTTGGTTGATTCCCCACTCTGTGATTCCCTGGACGCGCGCTGGTGCGCCCGAACTGGGCGCGGGGGACTGCCAACACTCTGGGAAGAAGATGCACCCTGGGATAACGCCGATCCAGTTCTTCTATCTGGATGGCCTCACCACCTTCCTGGAACCTCGTGCAGCTATGGTCGGGGCATAGAAGATACCCCAATTCTGCGCCCGCTGGCCGTCTCCAAGACAGGTCGGCCCACGCGATGAGGGGCGAGGAATAGCGGAAAGGAGGGGATGTGGGAAGGGAGGGAGGCAGAATGAGGAACACAATCATCGTGCTACTGTGAGGGACGCCAAATACGGAAAGAAGAGGTTCCCTGGCCACGCCGAGCACCGGCCCGAGCCCCTCCTCAGCCCCAAATGGTCCACATTTCAGCTTCTTGATAAGTGGTCAAACATCTTGGAGGAACAAGAACTGCATAGGCATAGATGTTTTGAGATCCGCGCGGATTTCTCAGACCTTTGCTGGGCCCCCCAGGGAGGGAGTTCCGAGAAATCAGAGGAATCCGCGCGAATCTCCGAAACAGAAATGATTATGCAGTCCTTGTTCCTATCAGTACGTTGACCGCTGAACAAGACGCTGAAAGATGGACCACTTTGGGCTCAGGGGGGGCTACGGTATTCGGACCGCTCCCCAGATGCAGTTTTCTGTCGCTATTGCTCCTCATTCGGGCCACTCCCCGTACATGTTTATGCGATTCGAAAATCGAAGTGTATCCATGCCCCTGCTCACACCCCAGCAACTCGGCTAGACGTAAGAGTGACCTTTGGCAGGAGTGACCTTTGGTGCGGGCCCAAATGGGTCCCCCAATCGCCGAACGTGCTGCGATATCGGCGGCTTGCGCGCTTGGGTTTGGCTCCCCCGCGCCCCCCTAATGCCGCGCACCAAAGGTCACTCTTACCCAGGGTCACTCTTGCGTGTAGCCGAGCAGCGCGAGGGGACGCAATGAGGGCATGGATGAGCGGCGGGCCTCTGGAGCCAAGCGCTTTATCCAGACCCTGCCTCCTTGGCGTCCGGAGTTGTGTAGAGGCAGCAGAGTGGGGAAGGATGAAGCGTCGATCGCCGAGGAGAAAGCGATCCAGAGGCCGCGCGCTGCGTAACGCCCTGCTCCACCAGACTCACACTCCTCCTCCTCCTCCTGCGCTGCCTCCAAGCTCCGTCTCCTCCTCCTCCTTCTCCTCCTCGTCCGCCGAGGATGAGCACGACAAGACAGGAGGATGATCCTTCGCATGGGGCCCCACAAGTGCGATACAGTCGAAGAGAATGGCGCTGGCGTGATCGAGAAGCCCAGCAGCTGCAAAACACCACAACTGTGACCAAGCAGATTCGCGCTTAGCATCTGAGGCCAGGGCTGCATGTCGCCCCCCCCACTCCGCAAACCAACGCGTCAGCCTGCAACACCCTCATATGTTGGGCCTGGAAAGAACGGGTCCTGAGGAGAACGGGTCCTGGATCTCGGGGCATTCCCCCAAGACCAACTCAAAAAGCAAGCGCGTCCCAAATGTGGATCCGCGACCCGCATCGACCAGCTCCGTATCCTCACTCTACCTCCTCCCCGCTGCCGCCGCTGCTTGCACGATGGAGCTAGGAAAGCCGTCGTCTCCTCGTCAGGCTCCGGCACAAACTTGTCCATTATGACGCGGATGTCGTCCTTCCCCTGGGTGGGAGGCTGGTCGGAGTGGCGACAGTGGAAGCAATGGGCTCACGTGAGACATCTGAAATTCCTCGCTAACAGGGCTTGTGTGGTGGACTTCCAGGGAGGTCCCCCAAATGGGGCCCGAATATACGGGGTCGGAGGATGGCGCAGCAACGACGGTGCATCGGCGACGTCGGGATCGAGAGACTCGGTTAGGTCACCAAACCTCGCACCTCGCGCCCAGCGATGCATCTTCGCGCTCTCGCGACGCCCCCTCGAAAAAGGCGCCTCTCTGGACCAGGCCGCGACGCCGCGGCGGCGACGACGACGGTGGCGACGATGGCGACGGAGACGGGGACTAATTATGTAGTGCGACGGGGACTAATTATGTAGGGACTGGTCAACTATTTACGGCTACTCATTCTTTACGATGGCGACGGCGACTCATTACGTATTTACGGCCGGAACAACGGCGATGCCGACGACTGCGAGCGGCGATGACGGCTGGCAGCGGCGGTTGCCAACGGCCACCAAGGAAGCGGTCCGGAGGGCGCGGGCGGCCGGCAAGCGGCGGCTCCAGCTTCAGGTGCGACAGCAGGGCCGCGTAGTGGAAGGTGACGGTGCCTAGGTTCAGGGGCTGCGCCTCGGGGCGGGGGCCTCAGCCCCTCCGAGGCTTCCTTTCTCTTCCCTCCTCCCTCCTCCCGCCTCCCCATCCTCTTCATCCTCTCCGCCCTCCTCTCCTCCCGCCTACCGCCTCCCTCCTCACTCCCTCCCATCCCTCCCTTCCTTCTCTTCCCTCCCTCCCTCCCTCCCTTCCCTCCCTTCCTCCCTGCTTCCTCCCCCTCGTACTCCTCCTCCTCCTCCTCCTCCTCCTCCTCCTCCTCCTCCTCCTCCTCCTCCTCCTCCCTTGTCTCCCCCTCCTCCTCCTCCTCCTCCCTTGTCTTCCTGTGCTCTTCATCCCCTGGTCTTCTTCAGTGCTAGAAGGCCCTCCAGATCCACACACCCATCAGGGCTGCTCAACACCTCGACTCAACACTGGACTGAGACGTCCTAGTGATACTGTTTAGCACTCCTGAAGGTCAAGGTCTTGCTCCTCCTCCTCCTTCGGGCTTCTACTGGCCTGGGTAAATGCAAACCCGGATCAATCAAGCTTTGTAAAATCCTGCAGGATCCTGCGAGCCAGCCCGGGTCAACACAACCCTGGCTGCGCAAGATCCTGCAAGATCCGGCACTCTGGCTGACCCCCGTTTGCATTGACCCCCGTCTCAAGGCTCCCGACTTCTTCCCCAGGGCTGGACCTAACCGGTGCTTTTCGTCTTCGTTTTGTTTTCGTTTCCCTCGTTTTGTCTTCAATCCGCAAGCACCGCAAAACGACATCGAAACCAAAACGGCCCACGGCATCGGCAAAGCACCGTTTAGGTCCAGCCCTGGCTCCCGACTTCTTCCCCCTCCCGTGGCCAGGCCCGCGCTCGGCCGCCACAAGGCGGGCCATGGCCCCCCAGGCCTCGGCCACGACGGCCGCTCCACGGGAGCCTCCCCCACGCAGCGCGGCCCTGCCCGCGGAAGAGCTCCCTTGCGGGCCTATTCGGCCGTCTTGGGGCGGTCTTTGGGGGCCTCTTCGGCTGCATTGGAGCATTGCAAGCTCGAAAACGAGAGAAGACCAAAATGCGATTGAACAACAATGAACATCAACGATGTTGGGCTCTTCGGGCCCTCTCGGGACGCCTCTCGGAGCTCTCTTGGGGCCTCTCGGAGGGCTCTTGGTTAACTCTTCGGCACTCCTGGGAGCCTGGAGAGCCGTCGGAAGGCGTTCTTGGGTTGCTTGGCAACGTCTTGTACTGTTGTTCTCTGCTCTGGGGGCTCTCCAGGGAAGTCTTGGGCCGTCCTGCGGCGTATTGGGGCCTCTCGGGGGCGCCCAGGGTCGCAGTGCAGGGAGTCCCCAAGATGATCCGGAGGGGTGGGGTTGGGGTGGGCGGCCGGTCTTTGGCAATCCTCGGCCTCCAGAGGTCACTTCTGCGCCCTGGGGCTCTGAACAAAAACGACTCAGGACGAAACACGAGTGCCAGTGAGTCGTCCAGAACTCTGGGGTGCCGACGCATCGGAACAATTGGAGCGCCTTGGCCATGTTTAGCTTGATAGGCTGACTCATAGAACTTCAATCGACGGGGGACATAATCGTTGCCTGTTGTGCAAGAGTAGCGTGCGGGGGTGCGGGCTGAATCTGCAAAACATGGAAGTCTGAGAATCCCTTTTTTTTCAAATTGCCATGCCTGGGCTGTGGGACAGAAGTCTCCAGGATACAGGACATGGTCTGTTGGAATGGGCCTCGGGGCCTTTTGCGCGGCGTCTTGGAGGTCTTTCGGGGCCTCTGAAACGGCTCTTGGTGCCTCCTGGGAGCCTCCCAGGAGTCTCCGCCGGCATCTGGGGGGCGCCTCGAGAACTTCTGGGAGAACCTTGGGGCCTCCTTGGGGCAATGCGCTCGTAAGGCTTTGGGAGGTCTCCTCTTTTGTCTCTTTCTTGGCGCGCGCGCTGACGTTCTAGCTAGGCTGAAAAGGTGAACTCATGGGATCTCGATTTTTGACGGTGGTTTCAGGGGCAGCCAAGAGGACACAGAGACGACCCAAGAGAGTGCCACGACAGCGTCAGAGAGTTCAACGGCATTCCCGAACAATATTTGCAATGTGACCCCGAAGTCTTGATGGGGCTCGGGATGAACTTGAACCAAAAGAGAATCACTGGATGTCCTGGGGCCTCCTAACATGTAGTGCGCAGGTACCGGGGAGGGCCCAAGAGGCGTGCAGGGGGCTATTGGGAGGCAGTTTGAAGGACGCTGGGGGGCTGTTTGGGGGCCTCTTGGGGCCACTGTTTGCTCTCTTCGAGGCTCTTGGGGTCTCTTCAGGCTCTTTGGGAGACTCTTGGGGCCTCCTGGGGGCCTCTTGGAGCGGAATGCTGGGATCGTCGATTTGCGTTCCCCGTGTTGGGCGGCTTTTCAAGCCATATCGGGGCTCTCTTGGGCTGCCTCGGGGAGCTCTTGGGCCGTCTTGGGGCCTTCTTGGTCCGTCTTGGAGCCTTCTTGGGGGCTCTTGGGCGGTTTTGGGGCGGTCTGGGGGGCCTTTTCGGCCGTCTTGGAGCGTTGGAAGCTCGAAAGCGCGAGGGTGTTTTTTGGTGTGTATATATAAAGATAATATGATAGCAGGGAAAAGCCCCAATCATATGTTTTTTGGGGCTATAGGGCTACGGGGCTATAGGGCTGTGGGACTATAAGGCTCTGGGGCTGTAGGGCTATAGGGCTATTGGGATATAAGGCTATAAGGCTCTGAGGCTATAGGGCTGTAAGGCTATAAGGCTATTAGGACTATGGGGCTATAGGGCTATGGAACCATTGGGTGATAAGACTAAACTATAGGGTTGTAGGGGGCTTTAGGGCTCCCGGGCACCCGGGCGTGCCGCCGAAATCGGCGCCGCACCTCACCTAACCATATGAATCCACTAGAACCCCTACAGAGGAGAGGCAAGCTCTGCTTGGTTAACAAACGCTGCACATCAACGGTTTTGGCCTCTTCGGGCGCTCCCAGGACGCCTCTCGGAGCTCCCTTAGGGCCTCTTGGAGACCGCCTGGGAGCCTGGAGGCCGTCGGAAGTTTGTCTTGGGCTGCTTGGGAGCGTCTTGGGCTGTCCTTTCGCGGTCTGGGGGCGCCTTGAGGGCGTCTTGGGCTGTCCTAGGGCGTTTGGGGGCTTTCCTGGGAGGCCCGGGGGCGCGGTACAAGGCGTTGCCCCTAGATGCTCTGGAGGTGTGGGACGCTCTCGGGCGGGGAGTATATTATAATATGTTACATTACATACTTTATAATACATCATATTTTTGTGTAAGACATGTTATAATATATGGTATACTATGGCGTATATTATATGTAATACAGCGTACCCTGCTAATAGTATACTGCACAATGTTATCATACGCTGTACAATACATTCCCACACCTTGTTGCATTGCAGTCTTTACTACTATAAACTGAATAAAATTATAGCAAAACCACTTCTCGTACGCTCTGTTAACATATATGTATGCTACTTTCTTCTGTTATAATACAGCGATCGAGATTACAACCTTCTGCATTGAAACAGCTATGATACTATATTATAGTATGGTATATCGTATTGTTGTAATTCAATTATAGTTTCCCATATTATGTTATGTGATATGATCGACGTCGTGGTACCTCACATTATATAATTGGGCGTTACACAAAACTGAGAATACAATGTATCATGTTATGACAGAGTCTGTTATGATGTCAACATCCTTATACAATATCCTCCGGCCCCCTTGTGGGGCCACCAGGCTGTAGGACGAAGGTTCGCAGTTTCCAGTACCAGTTGCAGCTTCAAGTTTCCACAGTTACAGTTCTGCTTCTTTGCAGCTTCCAGTTTCCACTGTTACAGTTCTGCTTCTTGCTGCCTACTTTTCCTTGTTGATGGACCGCGCGAGGGGGGGAGGCCCGAAAACGGGCATTTTTACCACGCCCTGAGCGTATGCTCTGAATTGCTGGGGTGGGTAAAAATTTACACCCCTCACGCAGATCGGCGGGGTCAGGGTTCAAAAACACAATAGATTTGCAACATTTCTGAAATTCGGTGGCACCCATCAAGCAGATCGGCGGGGTCAGCGTCCAAAAACACATGGGATTTGCCACATGTCTGAAATTCGGTGGCAACCCTCACGCAGATCGGAGGGGTCAGCGTCAGAAAACACAAGGAAGTTGTAACATTTCTGAAAGTCGGTGGCACGTCTCACGCAGATCGGCGGGGTCAGGGTCCAAAAATTGAAAGCATTTGCCACCGTTTTGAAATTCGGTGGCACCCCTCACGCAGATCGGCGGGGTCAGGATCCAAAAACACATGGCATTTCTGAAATTCGGTGGCACCCCTCAGCTAGATCGGCGGGGTCAGGATCCAAAAACACATGGGATTTGCTACACCGGCGGCACCCCTCATGCAGATCGGCGGGGTCAGGGTCCAAAAACATGCGGAATTTGTAACATTTCTGAAATTCGGTGACACCCCTCACGCAGATTGACAGGGCCAGAGTCCGAAAATACATGGGATTCGCCGCATTTCTGAAATTCGGCGACACCCCTCATGCAGATCGCCAGGGCATTTGCCACATTTCTGAAATTCGTTGTCATCGGCGGGGACAGGGTCCAAAAACACATGGGACTTGTCACATTTCTGAAATCCGGCGGCACCCCTCATGCAGATCCGTAGGGTCAGCGTCGAAAAACACACGGGTCCCGACACTGCTTCACGGCGGCGCCCAGACCACATGATTTAGCTTTTGCATCTCCCATTATCCGAGACAGGGGGACGGATCAGTATACAATGTATCCAAATTTGTTCTCATATCAGGGCCTAGAACCGTTTCATATATTCTATCATGATACAGTGACGCATGATATATAATATTAAATGTCATATCATCTTCCATTACCATATACTACATGTTGCTATAATATCTTGACATCGCCACGCACATACACATATATGGATGGTATATGCACCAATCCCTTTCTCTGTCGCTCTGTCTCTGTCTGTCTCTCTCTTTCTCAGTCTTCTTCTCTGCCGCTCCTTTCCGATGCGCGCGAGGGCTCCGCGACCGCGCGTCGACGGGGGCCTCGTGCAGCTTCTGCAGGTGGTCCCACAGGGGCTGGTTCATCGCTGGCCGCGGGCGTCGCCCGTTGCTGCCCGAAAAGCGGGGCGAGGCCGCCTCCCACTCTTGCTCTGATCATCCTCCTCCTGCTCGTGCTCCTCCTCCTCCCTCCCTTTTCCCCTTGGTCCTCGACCTTGTCGTCGTCGTCCTCCTCGTCCTCTTTTTGCCTCCGCCGCCTCCTCGCCATAATCATTGTTATCCTGCCTCACACAATCCCTCCATTTCCTCCTCCTGCCGCTGCTTCTCCTACTTCTCATTTCCTTCTCATCCTTCCCTCCTTTTTTGCTTGTGTTGTCCTCCTCCTCCAATTTCTCCCATGAAGTGGGGTGATGGGTGGCGGGAGAGGAGGGTGAGGGAGGCCGAGGACACGGGGCAAAGACCACAATTTCTCAAATGCTCCCGCGTTCCCTGCATGCCTCCCGGGTTTCCCTGGCACTTTCCGTATGGCTTCTTCGCCGCCGCGAGCGCCCCAAACGGGCCAGGAGGGGCCCCAGAGGCCTCTGACCTACAACCCAGGCAAGGTGGCAGGATTGGCAGAAGGCCAGCAGATCCGCCGCCCCCTGTCGATTCATCGCAGGGGTGCCTGGCGTGCTGAACCCTATCGGTTTTGGTTATGGTTATTTTTCCAAAAGAACTCCCCCTGGGCCTCTGTTTCCCCCAGTTGGCCCAAGATGGCGTCCAAAACGGCCAAGATGGCTCAGGATGGTCTCCAAGACGTCTCCAAGGCGGCCCAAGATGGGCTCCAAGACGGCTAAGATGGCCCCAAGATGCCTCCAAGACGGCGCAAAATGGCCTCAAGATGGTCTACGACGGCCCAACAGGCCCGCAAGAGGCCTCCAAGACGGCCCAAGAGCCCTCCAAGACGTCCTCCAGGAAGGCCCGAATGGGCCACAATCGTTGATTTTCCTTAGGTTGTTGAAGGATTTTGGCACTTGCGCCTTTTCGGCTTTCCGACGGCACAAGCCCCCAAGATCGCCCAAGAGGCCCCCATGACGGCCCAAGTGGCCTCCAAAACGGCCCCAAGAGGGCCCCAAGACGGCCCAAGAAGCCTCCAACACGCCCAAGATGGCCTCCAAGACGCCCAAAATGGCCTGCAAGACGGCCCGGAAGCGCCCCAAGAGGGCCCTAAGTCGGCCCAGAAAGGCTTCCAAGACGGCTCCCGACGGCGTCAGACGTGCCAGGAACCGACCAAGATGGCCGAAGTTGGCTCGAAGCTGGCCCAAGACGGCCCAAGAGGCCCCCAAGAGGGCCTGCAGGGAGGCCAGAAGAGGCCCAAACCATTGATTTTCCTAAGTTTTTGACGGATTCTGACATTTGCTTCTCTTCGGCCTTCCGACGGCCCGAGACGGCCCAAGAGCTCCCGAAGATCGCCGAAAGATCGCCCAAGAGGCCTCCAAGATGACCCCAGAACGGCCCAAGAGGGCCCCAAGACGGCCCAAAGAGGCCCCCAAGATGGGACAGGAGGCCTTTAAGACGCCCAAGATGGGCCTCCAAGACGGCCCTGGAGCATTCCAAGAGGGCCCCAAGTCGGCCCATAGAGGCCCCCCCAACGGCTTCCGACGGCGTCAGACGGACCAGGAGCCCACCAAGACGGCCGAACATGGCCCAAGAGGCCTCCAAGAGGGTCTCCAGGAAGGCCCGAAAAGGCCAAAATCATTTATTTCCCATGAGTTGCTGAAGGATTGTGGCATTTGCTCATTTTCAGCCTTCCGACTGCCCGAGACGGCCCAAGTGCCCCCAAAGATCGCCCACGCGGCCCAATACACGGCCCCAAGAGCCCCCCAAGACGGCCCAAGAGGTCTCCAAGACGCTCAAGATGGCCTCCACGACGGCCCAAGAGCCCTCCAAGACGTCCTCCAAGAAGGCTCGAAAGGGTCAAAGTGGCCTCCAGACGGCCAAGATGACCTTCAAGATGCCCACGTGTTCCTTGAAGGCTTTCCAAACCGATTCGGGGAACACATGGTCCGATAGCTTGGCAGGTCTGGCCTCAACGTTCGGCCACATAGGCGCTTCCAAAAAGGCAGGGGCGGCGGTGATTCGCCGTAGGCGTCTTCGATCCGCCGCTCCCTGTTGCTTGCAAGAGGGGTGCCTGGCGTGCCGGACCCTATCGGATTTGGTTCTTGTTCCAAAAGAACTCGCCCTGGGGATTCGGCCCGTTCCGCCGGGGTCCCGGAAGGCCGCGTAAACCACCTCAGCGCCCCCACATAATCCTCCAAGACGGCTCAAGATAGCCTCCAAGATGGCCATGTTGGCCCAAGATGGCCTCCAAGATGGCCTCCAAGTCCGCCCAAGATGGTCCAAGACGGCCTCCAAGACGGCCCAAAGAGGCCCCCCAGAGGCCTCCAAGACGGCCCAAGAGGCCTCCAAGAGGTCCTCCAGGAAGGCCCGAAGAGGCCAACGTCATTGTTTTTCCGGTTTTTTGGATATATATATATATATAATATATAATATATATATATATAATATATATAAAAAGATGTCGGCATTTGCCTCTTCTCGACATTCGGACGGCTCGAGGGCCCCAAGACGGCCCAAGAGACCTCCAAGACGCCCAAGATGGCCTCCAAGACGGCCCCGGAGCGCCCCAAGAGGACCCCAAGTCGGTTCAGAGAGGCCCCCAAGACGGCTCCCGACGGCGTCAGACGGGCCAGGAGCCCACCAAGATGGCCGAAGTTAGCTCGAAGCTGGCCCAAGACGGCCCAAGAGGCGTCCAAGAGGGCCTCCAGGAAGGCCAGAGAAAGGCCCAAAACACTGTTCCATAGTCTTTGAAGGATGTTGACACTTGCTTCTTTTCGACCTTCCGACGGACCGAGACGGCTCAAGAGCCCCCAAAGATCGCCCAAGATGCCTCCAAGATGGCCCCAGAACGGCCCAAGAGGCCCCCAAGACGGCCCCAAGAGGCCCTCAAGACGACCCAGGAGGCTTTTAAGACGCCCAAGATGGCCTCCAGGACGGCCCTGGAGCATTCCAAGAGGGCCCCCCAAACGGCTTCGGACGGCGTCGGACGGGCCAGGGGCCCACCCAGGCGGTCGAACATGCTGGCCCAAGACGGCCCAAGAGGCCTCGAAGAGGGCCTCCTGGAAAGCCGCAAAGGCCAAACTCATTGATTTCCCATGAGTTGTTGAAGGATTGTGGCATTTGCTCTTTTCCTGCCTTCGGACTGCCCGAGACGGCCCAAGTGCCCCCAGAGATCGTCCAAGACGCCCAAGACGGCCCCAAGAGGCCCCCAAGACGGCCCAAGAGTCCTCCAAGACGCTCAAGATGGCCTCCAAGACGGCCCAAGAGCCCTCCAAGACGTCCTCCAAGAGGCCCGAAAGAGTCAAAATGGCCTCCAGGCGGCCAAGATGACCTTCAAGATGCCCACGTGCTCCCCGAAGGCTTTCCAAACCGATTCGGGGAACACATGGTTCGATAGCTTGGCAGGTCTGGCCTCAACGTTCGGCCACATAGGCGCTTCCAAAAAGGCAGGGGGCGGCGGTGATTCGCCGTAGGCGTCTTCGATCTGCCGCCCCCTGTCGAGTCATCGCAGGGGTGCCTGGCGTGCTGGGTCCTCTCGGTTTTGGTGTTTGTTTTTTTCCAAAAGAACTCCCCCTGGGGCTTCGGCCCGTCCCGCCGGGGTCCCGGAAGGCCGCGTACACCACCTCAGCGTGCACAATCATCCAAAACGGCTCAAGATGGCCTCCAAGATGGCCACGTTGGCCCAAGATGGCCTCCAAGATGGTCCAAGATGGCCTCCAAGTCCGCCCAAGATGGTCCAAGAGAGTCCAAGACGGCCGAAGACGGCCCAAGAGGCCACCCAGAGGCCTCCAAGACGGCCAAAGAGGCCTCCAGGAGGTCCTCCAGGAAGGCCCGAAGAGACCAACATCACTGATTTTCCTGAAGTTTTGAAGGATTCCGGTATTCGCTTCTTCTCGGCTTTCAGACGACCCAAGACGGCCCAAGAGGCCCCCAAGACGGCCCCAAGAGGGCACAAAGACGACCCAAGAGGCCTCCAAAACGCCCAAGATGGCCTCTAAGACGGCCCTGAAGCACCCCAAGAAGGCCCCAAGTCGGCCCAGGAAGGCCTCCCAAACTGCTTCCGACGGCGTCAGACGGGCCAGGAGCCCACCAAGATGGCCGAAGTTGGCTCGAAGCTGGCCCAAGACGGCCCAAGAGGCCTCCAAGAGGGCCTCCAGGAAGGCCAGAGAAAGGCACAATATACTGACTGTCCATGGGTTTTCGAAGGATTTTGACATTTGCTTCGTTTCGGCCTTCCGACGGCCCGAGACGGTCCAAGAGCCCCCAAATACCGCCCAAGGATCGCTCAAGAGGCCTCCAGGATGGCCCCAGAACGGCCCAAAAGGCCTCCAAGACAGCCCCAAGAGGCCCCCAAGACTGCCCAGGAGGCTTTTAAGACGCCCAAGATTGCCTCCAAGACGGCTCTGGAGCATTCCAAGAGGGCCCCAAGTCTGCCCAGAGAGGCCCCCCAAACGGCTTCCGACGGCGTCGAACGGGCAAGGGGCCCACCAAGACGGCCAAAAATAGTATTAAGATTGCCCAAGACGGCCTCCAAGAGGGCCAAGACGGCCTCCAAGAGGGCCTCCAGGAAGGCCCGAAAAGGCCCAAATCAGTGATTCCCCATGAATTTTCAAGGATTGTGGAATTTGCTTCTTTTCGGCCTTCCCACTGCCCGAGACGGCCCAAGTGCCCCCAGAGATCGTCCAAGAGAACCAAGACAGCCCCATGAGGTCCCCAAGACGGCCCAAGAGTCCTCCAAGACGCTCAAGATGGCCTCCAAGACGGCCCAAGAGCCCTCCAAGACGTCCTCCAAGAAGGCCCGAAAGAGTCAAAATGGCCTCCAGGCGGCCAAGATGACCTTCAAGATGCCCACGTTCTCCCCGAAGGCTTTCCAAACCGATTCGGGGAACACATGGTCCGATAGCTTGGCAGGTCTGGCCTCAACGTTCGGCCACATAGGCGCTTCCAAAAAGGCAGGGGGCGGCGGTGATTCGCCGTAGGCATCTTCGAT